GGTCCACGTCTTCGCATACCCCCCATGTAACGGCACCTCTCTATTTTCGTTAATTTGGTTATTTAAGCGACATTAATCATCGGAACTGTTTCAAATTTGGTATTTGAAGTTTGTAATGGACAGTACAGCCTATGACAAAAAATTGTCTGTTCAGGTCCACTTCCTCGTATAGCCCCCATATATCGGTACTTCCTCGATATTCGGTATTTTGGCGATTTGAGCGACATTATTCATCGGAATTGTTTCAAATTTAGTATTTGAATTTCTTAATCGATACTACAGCTTATGACAGAAATTTGTCTGTACAGGTCTACGTCTTCGTATAGCCCCCATATACTCTACTTCCACATATTCGGTATTTTGATAAATTTTAGCTACATTATTCACCGGTCCACGTCGTCGTATAGACCCTAATTTAAGGGCTACATTCAGAATTTTTAAGATTTTAACATAATTTTTAACGGATTTTATTATTTTTTGTTTTGAAAGTTTCCAAATTAGTTCCAAAGGGTGGAGGGTATTCAAAGTTCGGTCCGGCTTTTTTACTTGTTTTTTTGTTTCAATTAATTTCTTGTCTATTTTGCCTTTTTATTTCGAAATTAAATTAATGTTCTCTCATAATTCAAATATATATAATTAATTTCACTTTATCGCATCGCAACTGAAAGTGTATTCCAAAATTTATTTACCCTGAACTAGAACTAACGATACTCGTGTATTCTACTTTTAGACATATTCGCATGTGTCAAAGCAAAATTTATTAGTTTTCAATAAAAAAAGAAACATTGGACAGATTCTATCAATAACGCTTTGTCAAGATTCGCTGGTGACTATTAGATTTGTGTAGCGTCGTACCCCTCCTCCGTTGCGAAAGTAAAACTTAAAAATTCGATTTCATTTTCATTCTAATTCTTGGACGTGGTGATGGATGCTGTTCGGTGTGGGGTCCCTACTTTGTTGTTTATTTAATTAAGCAATTTTTTTCACTCTCCCGCCCGCCTGGCTGGCTGGCTGCCTAGCCAGCTAGCCTGCTATGGCTAGAATTGTTCATGCTTATCTAGCTATAGTAACAAGTTTTTTTTGCTTAGTGTTCTGTTATCGTTTTTTGTTTGCTGTTGAAGGTCAATGAACGCTTAATTGGCTGACAACTTTTTTTTTTGCTCGACTTATTTGAGGTATTTGTTTTCATTTTATTTTTGTTTATGAAATAATATTTCTTTGAGTAGTTGCGGGCAAGTTTTTAAATAAATAAATAAATAAATATTTTTGTTGGCATTATTGTTACGGGAAACGAGGTATGGGGACATTTATGGAATTGTAGACAAGTCGACGAGCTTTTTGTTAACTATTGCCAAAAATTGGGTCAGGGATTTTTTTTTACAATTTTAAAATCCAAATCATATTCGAATTTTTTCAAATCTCTGACAATCTTCAAATTTTATAAAATAACACCCATTTTAGAGAATTCGAAAAAAACAAATTTCAAACATGACTAATTCGAAAAGACCACACACTCAAATTTTATTTTGGGTTTCGTTATTCATGATTTTTCAGATACTGACTGAATTCTTTTTCTTTTTTTTTTTGCTTTGAAATAAAGAATGATTTATTGACAAGGAAGTCACTAGATTATGCAATGCAATGCGACGAGCGTAAAGTTTCGAAATTCAGCAGCTGGTGTATAATTGCAATATCAGTTGGAATATGAAACCGGTTTCAATATCAATCTATGAAATCAAATCATTCTTGGAAACATAACTACCCAAATTAAGTGACTAATTTTGAACAATTTCCACCATAGTATGGAGGGTATATTATGTTTGTCATGCCGTTTGTAAAACCTCCAAATATACATTTTATATATTTTCTTGATCAGCACAAAATTCTATGTCGATTTAGCGCGGTCCGTCCATCTGTCCTTCTGGGGAAATCACTCTAACTTCCGAATGAATTGAAATACGTTCATAAAATTTTACTCAAATGTATACTATGTCTGCAGGACTTTTGGTATTGGAATTGGCACCTCCCGACATTCGGTATTTTGATGATTTTAGCGACATTATTCATCGGAATTGTTTCAAATTTTGTATTTGAAGTTCATAATGGATACTACAGCCTATGACAGAAAATTTTCTGTGCAGGTCCACACCTTCGTATAACCCCCATATAGCGATACCTCCCTATGTTCGGTAATTTATTGATTTTAGCGACATTATTCACCCGGAATTGTTTCAAATTTGGAATTTGAAGTTCGTAATGGATACTACAGCCTATGACAGAAAATTGTCCGTGCAGGTCCACACCTTCGTATAGCCCCCATATAACTGTACCTACCGATATTAGGTATTTTGATGATTTTAGTGACACTATTCCCCGGAAATGTTTCAAATTTGGTATTTGAGGTTCGTAATGGATACTTCAGCCTATGACAAAAAATTGTCTGTGCAGGTCCACGTCTTCGTATAGCCTCTATAAGCCGGTACCTGCCTATTTTCGGTATTTTGAAAATTTTAGCGACACTATTCACCCGGAATTGTTTCAAATTTGGTATTTGAAGTTCGTAATGGATAATACAGCCTAAGAAGGAAAATTGTCTGGGAAGGTCCACATCTTCGTATAGCCTCCGTATATCGGCACCTCCTTTTTTTTGGTATTTTCATGATTTTAGCGACTTTATTCACCGGAATTGTTTCAAATTTGGTATTTGGATACTACAGCCTATGACAGAAAATTGTCTGTGCAGGTCCACACCTTCGTATAGTCCTCATATAACGGTACCTTCCGATATTCGGCATTTTGATGATTTTAGCGACATTATTCACCAGAATTGTTTCAGGTTCGTAATGGATACTTCAGCCTATGACAAAAAATTGTCTGTGCAGGTCCACGTCTTCGTATAGCCTCTATAAGCCGGTACCTGCCTATTTTCGGTATTTTGAAAATTTTAGCGACACTATTCACCCGGAATTGTTTCAAATTTGGTATTTGAAGTTCGTGATGGATAATACAGCCTAAGAAGGAAAATTGTCTGGGAAGGTCCACATCTTCGTATAGCCTCCGTATATCGGCACCTCCTTTTTTTTTGGTATTTTCATGATTTTAGCGACTTTATTCACCGGAATTGTTTCAAATTTGGTATTTGAAGTTCGTAATGGATACTACAGCCTATGACAGAAAATTGTCTGTGCAGGTCCACACCTTCGTATAGTCCTCATATAACGGTACCTTCCGATATTCGGCATTTTGATGATTTTAGCGACATTATTCACCAGAATTGTTTCAAATCTGGTATTTAAAGTTCGTAATGGATACTACAGCCTACAAAAAAAAAATTGTATGTGCTGGTCCACTTCTTCGTATAGCCCCCATATAACGGAACCTCCTGATATTCGGTATTTTGATGAATTTAGCAACATTATTTAGCGGAATTGTTTCAAATTCGGAATTTGAAGTTCGTATTGAATGTTACAGCTTAAGACAGAAAATTATCTGGTCAGGTCCTCGTCTTCGTATAGCCCCCATAAACCGGTACCTCCTGATATTCGATATTTTGCTGATTTTAGCGACATTATTCTCCGGAATTGTTTCAAATTTGGTATTTGAAGTTCGTAATGGATACTACAGCCTATGACAGAAAATTGTCTGTGTAGGTTTACGTCTTCGTATAGCCTCCATAAGCCGGTACCTGCCTATTTTCGGTATTTTGATGATTTTAGCGACACTAATCACCGAAATTGTTTCAAATTTTGTATTTGAAGTTCGTGATGGATAATACAGCCTAAGAGGGAAAAATGTCTGGGAAGGTCCACATCTTCGTATAGCCTCCGTATATCGCCACCTCCCTATTTTGGTATTTTCATGATTTTAGTGACTTTATTCACCGAAATTGTTTCAAATTTGGTATTTGAAGTTCGTAATGGATACAACAGCCTATGACAGAAAATTGTTTATGCAGGTCCAGGTCTTCATATAGGCCCCATATAACGGTACCTCCCGATATTCGGTATTTTGATGATTTTAGCGACATTATTCCCCGAAATTGTTTTAAATTTGGTATTTGAAGTTGGTAGCGAATACTACAGCCTATGACAGAAAATTGTCTGTGCATGTCCACGTTTTGGTATAGCCCCCTCCCGATATTCGGTATTTGGATGATTTTAGCTACATGGTTCACCGAATTTTTTCAAGTTTAGCATTTGAATATTGTTATGGCTTATGAAAAAAATTGCCCATGTAGGTCCACGTCTTCGTATAAACCCTAATATAACGGCTACATTCGGTATTTGGAAGATTTTAAGATAATTTTTAAAGGATTTTATTATTATTATATTTTTTTTTTGAAAATGCCCAAATTCGTTCCAAATGGTGGAGGGTATTCAAAGTTCGGTCCGGCCAACTGTTTATGATTTTATTTCTTATTCTATTTGTTCCTACTTGAATGTCCAATTTTTAATAATTCTTCTAATAATTCTTTTTATTCTTCCCTTTTCAGATTATCAACTTGTAAATGTGAAAAATATTTATGTGTATACAAATGTGTAAATTGTAAATAAAATAATATTTTAATAATTTTAAAATAAATAAATTAAGTTTAAATGTAATCCCAAAGTAAAAAAGGAAAATACTTTAGTTTTTCTCCCAAACCAGCGGAAAAAACTAAAGATTTGTAAATTACTAAGCGATACCTAATTGTGTTCAAAATTGCAAAACAAAGTAATAAAAAAAAAAATTATAAAAAAAATAAATTTAAAAATAATTATTCATTAAGTGGAAATACCATATAGAATTAAAATAAATATAAATATTTTAGTTTTAAATCAAAAAAGTCAATATATAAAAAAATATATAATTAAGAAATTTCAATTTAAACAACAAAATATATATTAAAAAAAAATTAAGAAATCCAATAAATAGTGTAAAAAATAATACATAATTAAGAAAAATGAATAAATTCAGATTTTAAAGTTTAAAATTAAATTAAAAAAAAAAAAATAATAAAAATCATTTCATAACCCTGATATGTCCAACCAGAAATTGTGTTTTTTGATGGGAATATAAATAAATAAATTCCCGTCTAACGAAAGAAATAAGTGAAAAATTAACAACCATCCGAGTGCTGCATCTTGAGAATCGATACTGATAATGAGTGAAGAATGAAAGGAAAATAGATAAAAAAGTGAATTTATAAAACAAGCTAAAAATGAAAAATACTGTGAATTAAAAAAAAATAATAATATATTGTTAAAAATAAAAATAATGGAAGCCAATCAAAATAATATCCATAAATAAAAAATGAAATATTATTTCTTTATTTTAATTTAATAAATAAATAATTGCAATCATGGCCCGCCATGTGGTCATTTATTTTGTCAACGGATTATACCCCTGAAAGACAATGCCGTTTAGACCCCAAAAACATTTTAGGTAAGTTGATTTATTTTTATTTTACATTTAAATTTATTAAATTATCTAAATACATTTTTTAAATATTTATTTATAAATTAACAAGTACCTGCCACTTCGTATGCGGAAACAATAATTTGTATTAATCTACTATGTGCTCGCCACTTCATCAGCAAAAAGTCTACCTTAAATTTCAGATTTGTTCCACCAATTCATTTAAGTACTCAAAAATGCACAACATTTTCAGCAAAATGTCAGCTACGCCAGTTCGATTATTTCAGGATTCAAGCTCTATGTATTCGCTCAACGGCAAATTTAGTACCATTTATTACTTTTCGAACAATTATAGTACGAATCTCGAAGTCGCCTCCATCGTCCAACACCATACACTGACAATCGGCTTCATATCAAATTCCAGAATTCCAGCTCTACCCTAAGACCCAATCCCAAATTTAATACCATAATTTTCGTACAGTTGTACTATGCATGTCTAAAATCGCTCAACATCTTCTTTCTACTGTAGACACTAGACAATTAATCTCCATGTCTCAACCTCAGACCACCATCTCCCATGACCTTCAACTCATATTTCAGGATTTCAACTCCTTAATATCTCCCATCATCAAATTTAGTACCATTTAGTACACTTATAGTACACATTTTCAAAACTCCCTCCATATTTCAATCATAAATACCAAAATCAAATCAATACCAAATTTCAGGCTATTCCTATCATCCAATATCAAATATAGTACTATTTAGTACTTTTCGTATATTTCGTACATTTCCAAAACCACCTCCATATCTCAACCTCAGATACCAGAAGTGACCTTCAAATTAAATTTCAGGATTTTATCTCCTTAAATTCTGCCCATTACCAAATTTAGTACCATTTAGTACACTTATAGTACACATTTTCAAAACTCCCTCTATATTTCAATCAAAAATACCAAAAGCTATATTAAATTTCAGGATTTCTTCACCCAATACCAAACATAGTAATATTTAGTACTTTTCGTATATTTCGTACATTTCCAAAACCACCTCCATATCTCAACCTCAGATACCAACAACGACCTTAACATCATATTTCAGTATTTCATCTTCTAAATTTCTCCCATTACCAAATTATGTACCATTTAGTACAATTATAGTACACATTTCCAAAATCACCTTCACATCTCAATCTCAGACCTCAATATCAAATTTCGGGATCCCAGCGCTATACCTTCACCCAATTCCAAATTAACTACAATGTAGTACTTTTCGTACAATTATAGTGTACATTTCCAAAACCGCCACCATATCTCAATCTCAGATACCAACAAAGGTCTCAATATGAAATTTCAGCACTTTAATTTTCTCCATTACTAATTTTGGTACCATTTAGTACACATTTCCGAAATTCCCTCCATATTTCAATCATAAATGCCAACAGTGACATCTACATCAAATTTCAGGATTTCAGCTCTATTCCTTCACCCAATACCAAATGCAGTACTATTTAGTACTTTTTACACAATTACAGTACACATTTCCAAAACCACCTTCATATCTCAACCTCAGATACTAGCAGTGACCTTCAAATCAAATTTCAGGATTTTATCTCCTTAAATTCTGCCCATTACCAAGTTTAGTACCATTTACTGCAATCATAGTACGCACGCCAAATACCAAATACAGTACTATTTCGTACTTTTTACACAATTATAGTACGCATTTCCAAAACCCCATTTGTTTCTCCCATTACCAAATTTAGTACCATTTAGTACAATTATAGTACACATTAAACTACACTCCCTCCATATTTCAATCATAAATAGCAACAGTAAAATCTATAACAAATTTCAGGCTTTCAGTTCTATTCCTTCACCCAAAAACAATTATTGTACTATTTAGTACTTTTCATATATTTCGTACATTTCCAAATCCACTTCCACATCTCAACCTCTTAATCCAACAATGACTTTAACATCATATTTTTGGATTTTAGCTTTTTATACCCTACACCACAAGGTGGTCAGGGTATTATGTCTTTGTGCATTTGTTTGTAACAGGCAAAAGGAGACGAGATAGACCCTTAGTTCCTTTTGATGATCTGCATAGAATCACATTATAAGCCGATTTATGCATGTCCGTCCGCCCGTCTGTCTGTCCGCTGTCCAGGTATTTTTGTAAACAAAGTACAGGTCGCATTTATTTCCCGATTCAGATGAAATTTTGCACAAATAATTTGTTTAAGCCAAGGACGAACTATATTGAAAATGGAGATAATCGGACAAAATTTAGTTACAGCTCCCATATATATTTTCGTCCAATTTGCCTTATATTGTGCACCAAACTTGTAATATCAGCCCAAGTAGTATGGAATTTTGCACGTACGAACAGATTGGACCTGAAAATAGGTAAGCCAAATTTGATCGAAATCGGTTCAGATATAGATATAGCTCCCATATATATTGTTTATCCGATTTGTTATTTTTGTCCTCTGCAGCCGTAATGTGCACCCTTCCTAAATTTTATCGAGATCGGTTAATATTTGGATATAGCTCCCCTATATATCTTTGTCCGATTTGCCTTTTACTGTGCACCAAATGTGATTTGTTGAATTTGTCCTGCATAGCCGTAATATGGACCCTGTAGTAACGATATTCGGGGAAATATATCAAATATAGCTCAATATACCTTTGCCAAATTTTATCGAGATCGGCTGAGATTTAGATATAGCTCTCATATATATCTATCCGATTTCAAGTTTATTGTGCACCAAATGGATAATACTTTTTGTAAATGTGTATTATAATAGTACTTTCCGTACAATTATAGTACACATTTACAAAACCCCCTCCATATCTCAATCCCAGATACCACCAGTGACCTTAACATCAATTTTTCGGGATTCCAACTCTATTCCTTCTTCCAATACAAAATTTAGTACAATTAAGTACTTTTCGTATGAATATAGGACGTATTTTAAAAACACCGCCATTTCAAACAACAAGTAAAAAAGCTGTAAGTTCGGCCGAGACGAACTTTGAATACCCTCCACCATTTGGAACGAATTTGCAAATTTTAAAACAAATAAAACCGTTAAAAATTCTATTAAAATCTTAAAAATACCAAATGTTGACTTTTTGTCAAATTTCAAATGCGAAACTTGAAAAAAATCAATATAGGGAGGTACTATTATAGAGTGAGATGAAAAAACTGCAACCAACTCCAGGCTGCTGTCATTTCTAAGCCACTCGTCCGACAGCTGTTAAAATTATTCCAGTGACTTCTTATTATATTTTTTACTAGCGTACAATAGCATTTTGGTGAGAATTTTCCAGAAAAAAATTATTCGTGTAGAATTCAAGCTATCATGCTTTCTTTATATTTGGCTGGATAACTACAAGTGGCTATCGTTAGAGCACTCCAGTATTTTAAAGTGAATAAATCTTTTATGTGTCGTACCATCGCTCGTTACCGTGATACTGGTAGTGTAGACCGACGTCAAGGAAGTGGACGAAAGAAAACTGCAACATCAGCAGAAATGGTTCGAGAAGTAAAGAAGCGACTTGATCGAATCCCGTCCTCACAGTGGCCGACAATTGACTCGTGGGCTGAACATACCGCAATATTCCATTCGGCAAGTATTGAAAAATGAGCTCGGGGTAAAGCCATTGAAAGAAAATAGACTCAAAAGATCTAAGGAGTTGCTTCGCTTTGCCGAAAGTGGTGAACTGCCGAATTTGGTTTTCTCCGATGCGGATGAGAAAACAGCAGTTTGTAAACAAACAAAATGACCGTGTTTACTTGCCAAAGAGGTCAGATGAAAATGTGCACCTTCGGTTGGCCACCAGAACTCAAGCGCCGGCCATGGTGATGGTGTGGGCTGCCATAATAGCCGATGGTCGCTCTCGCTCTCCGCTCGTATTAATCGACCGTGGCATCAGAATAAATGCCGAATATTAAAGCGAAAATATTCTGGAGGGTGTATTAAAGCCTTGGGCACGCAAACATTTTGGCCACAGACCTTGGACATTCCAATGGCACTCAGCACCATCGCATAATCAGTACTCGCCACCCAAGAGTGGTTACAAAATAAGGGTTCCTCGCTTCATTTCCAGCTCACAATGGCCACTAAAATCTCCGGATAGCAATCCGTTGGACTATTGTCTCTGGAGTATTTTGGAAAGAAAGGTTGGCACTAAAAAAATACCAAAATGTCGATCACCTCAAGCACACGCTTCGCCGGGAATGGGCCAAAACACCGCAGGGCAACATTCGGGCAGCATTTGACGGTTTCATTGGCCGTTTGAAGGCCATAATTCGCGCCAAAGGTGACCAATTCGAACAAATCTAAACTTATTCTATGTCGATTTAGCGATGGCCTTCCGTCTGTCCGTCTGTGGAAATCACTCAGCTTCCGAACGAAATGAAGTAGGTTCATAAAATTTTAGTCAAATGTATACAATGTCTGCAGGACTTTTGGTATTGAAAATGGGTCATGTAAGTCAACGTTTTGGTAAAGCCCCCATATAACGGTACCTCCCTATATTCGGTTGTTTGATGATTTCAGCAACATTATTTACCGGAATCGTATCAAATTTCATATTGGAAGATCTTTATGGGTACTACAGCCTATGGCAAAAAATTTCGTATGCCTTTCGACGTCTTCGTATTTCCCCCATATGACGGTACCTCCCGATACTCGATATTTTAATGATTTTAGCGTCATTATTCACTGGAATTGTTTCAAATTTGGTAGTTGAAATTCCAATGGATACTAAAGCCTAAGACAGAAAACTGTCCGTGCAGGTCCACGTCTTCATATAGCCGCCATATAACGGCACTTCCCGATATTCGGTAGTTTGATGATTTTAGCGACATTATTTTAGCGACATGTTTCAACTTTGGTGTTTGAAGTTCGAAATGGTTTCTACAGCCTAAGACAGAAAATTGTCTGTGCAGGTCCACGTTTTGGTATAGCCCCCATATGACGGTACCTCCCGATAGTTGGTATTTTGATAATTTCA